TCCTTTATCTGTCCAGTTAATATCTTTAAACACGTCTTCAAGTCCAAGTATGAATAGCTTTGGTGAGATAACATCTCCTTGGCGAACTCCTCCTTGGTTTCGCATCTATTTGTATTTTCATTGTAGCTTTCTTGTAAATATTCTGTATGAGCATTCTGTATCGGGAGTCTATCCTGCAGTTGTTCATAGCTCTCTCTATTGCCCAAGTTGTATGGAGTCGAATGCCTTTTTATAATCAACGAAGCCAATGTATAAGTTTAAGTTTAAATGATATTCATTGTATTTCTCTATTAGAGTTCTCGCTGTAAGAAGATGATCCGCTGTACTGTAACCCTTTTGAAATCCTGCCTGTTCTACCGGTTGATAGCTGTCGAACTTCGACGTTAACCTGTTAGTTGTTACTCTCATAAACAGTTTGTACATTTGAGTTAGCAGGAAGATTGGCCTATAGTTCTTCAGATCTCCCGTGTCTCTCTTGTTGAAGAGAGTATATACCGTTAGTATACTAATGTATAAACATCCAAAGTCGAATTATTAGTATTTAAGTACTGATTTTTTTGTTTTATTTTCTTCATTTCAGGTTCTAAACAACTTTGTCCTTCGAGATCGTACCATAATATATGGGAGCTTCCTATGAACCAATTAGAAGCAGGAGAATTTACTTGTGCTATGGTTGACTCTTGTCCATCAACTATGACTGGAAATGAAGTTTACGAGCTGCTAATGCACAATTTTAAAAGGCATTATTTAAGCAATAAGGCTCCATATGGACTATACTTTCATTCCGCCTGGTTTAAAAATTCAAGTTATCTCTCAGCTTTTCAGGTATGCTTTATTGTGTCGATAGTGCTATTGGGTATTATGCATATTGTAGCGAGATTAAATAAAACGAACTGTTCGAATTTGTACAAATATATTTATTTATAAGTTTACAGTTCGGTAATATCTTAACAACTAAAAGTACCTCAATCATCGTTACTTATATATACAAGTCACTATATACTAGAACATTCTGGAGTAGCCCACCTCTAATACGTCTATTTGACGGGTTCTTTTCTCTCGCGCTCGATACATCGCCAAAAACTTCTAGTCGCTTTCGAGATATAGGGCTAGAAGCTCAAATGCGAAGAATTAGAGAAGTACCAAAAGAAGGCGCCTTAATATTGAACTCCTCAAAAATTCGGTAAACGGTAGAAAGGTTTTAAAACTATATCGAAACTAACTACATAAATAAAGAGAATCTAACAATTAGTGAATGGGAAATGTGTAAAAATTATAGACAAGATTATAGATAAAACAAAAATTATAGAAAGACGCAGCAAATTACATTCTACGGCCGCAAAGAGCACCACCACGCAATGAGTGGTTCGATGCTGAGTGCGAGAACATTACAAGAAGAAACAACAATGCATATAAACTAATGCAGCACAGAAGAACCCGAGAAAAAGAACAAAAATATAAAGATCTCAGAAGAGAAGAGAAGTACATCCATCGGAGAAAAAAGCGAACTTATGAAAATAGAATATTGGAAGAACATTAGGCATTAAAAAAGGAAAATCAAATAAGAACATTCTATAAAAATCTGAATAATGCAAGAAAATAATTTAAACCAAGGATCGGACGATGTAAGGATAAAGAGGGGTATATACTCAATACAAAAGAAGAAGTATTAAAAAGATGGGTGGAAGGAACACTATAAAGAACTACTTACTATCGAAGTAAAAGATCCAAATCAACCACCCCCAGGAGCAAGCAACAATACACCATTAGAGCCTTCATCAATTCAAGAAGTGCGGGATGCAATAAAACACGTAAAAAATAATAAATCTCCAGGAAGTGATGGTATACCCGCAGAACTTATTAAATGTGGAGGTGCTACTCTTACTAACCATATATATAAAATCATACTGAGAGCCTGGAATGGGGAACAAATCCCGGAAGAGTGGTGTATTGGGATCGTTTGCCCGCTACACAAAAAGGGTCATGAATTGGAATGTAGAAACTATAGGGGAATAACTCTCCTTAATACAGTATACAAAATATTTTCGAGTATTTTATATAGTCGCCAGAGTGCATATTCAGAGGAGCTTCTTGGCGAATATCAAAGTAGTTTTAGGCCTGGTCAAACAACAATAGACCAGATCTTTGTGCTAAGGCAAATACTGGAAAAAATCAATGAATTCAATATCGACACATAACATATTTTCGTAGATTTTAAATGGGCCTATGATATTGTCCTAAGAAATAAATTTTATAAAGCCATGGATGCATTTCACATCCCCGATAAACTGATAAGATTGGTTAAGGCTACAATACGTAAAATTGTTTGCAAAGTCGAAATACAGGGCGAACAATCACAGGCATTTGAAACACATGTTGGGCTGCGACAGGAATATGCGCTGTCGTGTCTCCTTTTTACCATAGCTCTGAAAAAGGCGGTCAGGGATGCCCAAATAGACAACAGAGGAACATTTTTAATAAATCATCAAAAATTTTGGCATATGCAGATGATGTTGACCTAGTTGCCCGCACAACACAAAAACTAGAAGAAATGTATACAACCTTGTCGAATGCCCCCAAAAATATGAGCCTGCAAGTAAATGAGGAGAAAACTAAGATAATGGCATCAACACCCAACAATAGAGCCAGAAACATCGGCCACCAATTCACTGTTGATAACTCTACCTTTAAAGTGGTGGACAAATTCACGTACTTAGGCTCCCTGATCACCAAGGAGAAGCGAAGACTAATCCTAGCAAACAAATGCTATTTTGGATTGAGTAGACATATGAGAAGCAGAAACTTGAATGTGGAATGGTGAATCCGGATTCACTCCCCGCCTCTCGACTCGTTAGTGTTCTGAGCTGTTGGACGTGAATCCCTGTCCTGGCATTTGGTTTTCACCTCTGGCTGCGTTGAGTAGTTGAGTTGCTGTGACCAAATGCCCATCTTGGTAGTTAGTATTCGCCTCTGGTTGCGTTGAGTAACTGAGTTACCGTTGCTAACTACCCATCTTCCTGTCTTTTGTTTTCTTTTTCTTTGTTCTCCTGAAGAAGCTTCATACAATTGTAGCGAAACGTCGAGATGAACCCACTTTTGGGTCACTCACAAATGACACGGTCCAAACCCGGAAGACGAATAAACTATAAGAATTCAGCTTATTTGTATGATTTTTAGGGGTGAACTCTCTGTTGACTGGACTATGATAGTATTTTTTGGTTCAAGGACATCGACGTGATTTTCTTAAAGTAAGTGATAACTAAAGACTTGCTTATAGCTTATATCTACCATACAGTTAAACTTTGGAAAAGATATTCTTATAAAATTACCGGATTCATAGTACCGGTAGAAGGCAGTATGAAGGGCCAAAACTACTGGGAATCTGTAGAACATAAATTGGAAACTAAACTAATAGTCATGTCGTGTAAATATGTCCAACGTCATGAAATATTTCAATAACAAAAATAACCTTTAATGGTAGGAAAGTTGCTGGAAAATTTAGAATTGGTAAAATAAAAATCTTTTTCTTGGTCTGCCAATACTTCTTCCATTTGGTGACTTACCTCGTACTATTCGTACTATCCTATTCTCTGCCATTATACTAATGTGTTAATTCCGCTCCTGTTTTCGTTTTGTCACCCATCCATTTATGTCTTTTATAGTGCTCTTCTTATGTTTTCGCTTTTCTTCCTATCGAACAGACTTTTCCTTGATATTCGTCGGAGTATACTCATCTCTGTTGTTTCTAGTAGTCGTCTCGTTTTAGATGTATCAGGTCTTCTCTACGCCGTGTATGTTCTAATATAGATCTAATTGCTGCTTTATACATTCTTGTTTTTGTGTCTTGTCTTAGGTGTTTTTTCTTCCAAATAGTGTCATTAAGAGATCCCGCCGCTTTACCTGCTTTTAAGTTTTGTTGTCGTACTTCTTCTTCAAAATCTCCGAAAGCTAGTTATATCTATTCGCAGATATCAGAAAAGTGTTATGGTAAAATTTATTATATGTAAAACTTTCCTATTAAAACAATTTAAATCGTATTTTATTTGTTTGTTTCAATATAAATAATAAATGCTTCTTTCAAATCACTACTTGTGTCCGTTATTCTATTATGTGTTATTTATTCCTGTCGTAGTCATTCTATTTATAGCTTGTGTCTGATTATTATCGTATATGGACATTTCACTAATGTTTAATGAGAGCTGATATACTATTGACAAGTAAAGGACAAAAACAGGTTCTGGATTTCTCTACCTACTAAAAGTTAAAGTGTTGCCGTGACTTAATTGGAGATCCGAATCCGTTAGATAAATGTATTTTCTCGACTAATCACCTCTCACATATTAACCAACTGTTACGTAAAATATTATTTATAATATATTATAAACCCCTATAATTATAAAATTAAATATTTTCTGCTGTATAAATTTCTTTTGCCATCTGTTTTTTTATTAAAAAATAAGAATAATACAAAATAAAAATCTGCATATTGGTTATGGATTTTTAGTATGTTATAAAATTTGAGAAAAAAATTAGCAGTATTGATTGGCAAAACACCGAAATTTTGTTTAAACTTAAATATTTATAGATGTGTAGATCTTTATTTAAAAAAAATGCGAAATTGCAAATTAAAAAATCTGCGAAAAAATTTTCTACCTTTTTTCAGACTGGGCTATAGTAATAGTTTAGCTTTTATATGTCCATTAAAGCTACTTCAATTTGTTGTTGCTATTCCCGTGCATAACGATTAAAACACCATACAATGTATTGCACAATCTTGAATTTTAATGTGAATATAATTAAAAGATATTGAGGTAGAATTTTTGGGTATACATTTATCCTTAGGCCTTAGTGATTTGCTGTGTTGTGTTCATTGTTTACGGCAGATTAAGTTCGAACTTCAGGCGATGATTGATTGACATTAATTGGTACGTTCTTTTTAGATGTTGATGGTCAATAAATTAGCTTTTATCCTTTCAATCATATTGAATAATAAGGGAATTAATATATTGTGGAATCTATTATATATTTACAACTTTACTGCATTTTTATATATAAAGAAGAAAGTGAAGTTTAAATATTACATTATTTTTAATATTTTTGATTTATTTCTTTTTAAAGCTTAACTAAGGTTATGCTTTTGTTTGCAGTGTTGAATAGCTTCGTTAAATCCTTGGCATAACGTAATATCTTTCTCTGTAGCGGCACAATTTATGAATTGTTGAATTTCTTTCGAACAAGTCCTTCTCGGTTCTTCATAACGTTGAATATCCTTGTTGGAATCAGCTGTTTTATTACTAGCCATACCTAAAAAATGTGTGAAAAGAACTAAATATGCAGTATGGATAAACTAAAATACAGGGTGTTTCAATTTATTTTTTTCCCCGGAATGCGTGATTAATGAAAACACAATATTTTTGGTCACATCATAAGAAATCAAAAGTATGAACTGCTCCAACTTATAATCGATGGCAAAGTCAATAGCAAAAGAGGGAACAAGACGCAACTTTTGGCTTAAAAACCTACGGCAATGGACGAACATGACCTCCATAGAACTATTCGGAGCTGCTACAAATAAGATTCAATGGGCAAATGTAATGGCCAACGTCCTTAAGGATAAGGCACCGTAAGAAGAAGAAGAATGCGTGATTTAATTTATGACATACCTTTTTAAAACCCCCTGTATTAGTTGCGTATTTAAATTGACAAATACCAACATACAATGTTAGTAGTGATAGATAGTAGTGATTTTGGAGTGTAAAAATGTCGCGATTTAAAATCGCTGCAGAATCTGTTCAAAAGCTCCTCCAAAACTTTTTCAAGAACAAAAATTAAGAACTTTTTTATACTTTTTAAACAGTGCTTTTGTTTGTCTCTTCATTTTCAATCTACAGGGTGAGAAATAAGTATATAATACCTCAATTATCTAGGAAAGAGCTTGACGATTTTTATAGATTTTGGTCTTGTGAATAAAATTGACGAAAAGCATGTTGCCGCCACTCGAAACGAGAGTACTTAATTACGTATTTTTTGTGAAATTTTAAAAATTGAATGGAAGAAAGGATAGTGATTTTGGACTGTAAAAATATCGAGACTAAAAATTATTGTAGAATATGTTGAAAAGTACCTACAAACCTTTTTAAAAACTAAAAATGAAGATCTTATATGTACTTTTAAAATAATGCTTTTGTTTTTCTCTTTATTCACAACCTAGAGGTGAATTTTAAGAATAATTGAGCAGTTAGGGATAATGTTAAATGTAGTGCAAAGGTTTAAAAATCGCATGGCTTGTTGTATTAAAGCAAACGACCAATATTTTGAGAATCTGCTATAATCGCCTCTATTGGTTTTCTAAAGTTCTTAATTTTTCTACTATTTAAATATTGACATACCTCTAACATGAATTTGTTTTCAGCTGATCTAGGTTTGCTGTTCTATGGTTTCGATAAATCTTTTACTGCACCAGTTTCGTTAAACTCTTAAGTAATTTATTGTCAGAAGACCTTATGTTAATATTATTAGGATCAAAATTCACCTTTCTGCCGGGTCTTTCGTTCAGTACGTATCGATTCTGATTTTTCGGAAACTAAAGCGTATTTCTATTGATGGTACAATCACAGAATAATAAACAAACAGAATGCCCACTCTTAGATGCCGCCTTTGAAGTTTTTCAGCACGCGCGCCATGTTTTAGAAGGAAACACATAACACAGACATATGATTTGTGAGGTTATGTTATTGTTTATATTCAATGACGTATATTTATATTTATGTTTAATTATATTATATTCGTCTTATTATATTTAACACTGTTAATATATGTATAATTGTATAGTATGTCTTTGATTGCCGTAAGTCAATTAAACTGGGTTAATTTTGTCTATGCACACCACATAAACAACACTGGTTCCCTCTAAAACATGACGGAACGTCTTCGCGAAGGAGATGCGCGTACTTAATTTTCCATGGAGAGTGAGCATTCTGATTGTTTATTATTCTGTGGTACAATTAACACAAGGTATGATATGACATTTGACAGCTGTGCCAGGCGTGTGACGTAGCAAAGATCCGTCTTCTTCTTCTCCTTTTTGTTCCTCATTATAAGTAATTCCAAATGACCGTGTCATTTGATGACACGGTCAAAGATCCGTTGGACCCATTATTTGTAAGGTAGGCCTCAGACTGATCGATCGACCACGACTAACCGTCCGACGGCGATCAACCAAATTTTGTATTTTTATTTTTAAACTCACATTAATCGTTCGTGTTCCATCGACCGACCGTTAGAAATTTCAGGAGGGTGTAGCAACATAACCAAATTTTCGTAATATTATTTTATCAGGCTTTTTGTAGAATATTGAATTATGGATAGAATTAGCAGTGATGATTCTACTGATAAATTATTTATCACTTATTTAATGTGGAGACGTCTTCGTAGGCGTAGGACAGTTTGGGTGCGAGATATTTTTTTAAAAAGACACCAACAAGGAGAATTCTTTGTGTTATATCCCATTCTATTAAATGATAGTATTAAATTTCAAAATTATTATCGCATGAGCAAGCCCTGTTTTAAAAAACTTGTAGAATTGGTAGAGCCTAATTTTTGTATTGGATATACAAACTGCAGACAAACTATTGGCTTTTTAGAACGTCTTACTGTTACTATAAGGTCAGTATCTAAAATCAGTAAATACAAAATCACTTATGGGTATGTCCTTGACAATAATTGATCCAGTTTACTTTGGGGATACACACTTTTTGTCTTGCTTAATAGGTTAATAGTAACCCTAATAAAAACGCAAAGAAAAAACAAACAAAAGTTTTATAGGTTAATTAAAAATTTTGATATGTCAATGGTCAATGTCATTGCTCAGAACAGTATAAATGAATGCGAAATATTCCATATTCATCGACCAAAGGATAAAAAATTCCAACAAGTCCGAATTTCAAAACTGGACGATCGCGGTCGGTCGCTGAAAGTGATGGACGGTCCATCAGTCTGACTCTACACATACATTTTCATAGGCTCGTAATGTTGGTCGATCGTGGACGGTCGGTCTGGTCGAGCAGTCTGATTTCTCCCTAAGGATAGTTTAACGACTTTTTTGACATTGTAGTAACTTACCACGTTTTGCCTTCAGTTAAAGCATTATAGTTTTTTAAAAAGTACCTGTGGAGTTTAGTTAATTGTATTGTGTAGTAGTTTTTTTTATAAAACTTGTTAACTTATTTTTAGTGTTTTGATGTACAGTATCAGGTCATATGGATTTTTTACGTTTTTTCGTTAGTGTTTTCCGCACATAATTTTATATTTTTGTAACCGCGCTATATATGCTCTGGTTAGATTATTAAGAAGCATAATTATATCCTAAAGGGCAAAACTAAGGACGTACAAGACCATGATAAGTTCTATAGGGATGTATGCTTCTGAAACATGGGTCACAACAAAAAAACTTAAATGGACAATAAATAAAAAGAACAAATAAAGAGCTAACGGAGGTCCATTAAGAACCCAACATATTACCGGTAATTAATGCTTAAAGACTTGGACGGTTTAGCCATGTGCATAGAATAATTCAATCTAGAATTCGCAGAGTAGTAGTATCTAGTGCATTGGCAGGCAAAAGGCGAAGAGAAAGACCGAGATCAAGGTGGAGCAACGAATTAAAGGAAAATTTTGTATCTTTTTAAACAACTGGAATATTAGTTTAAACAAATTCAAACAAACAGTTTTGAGTATTAAAGAATAAAAAAAATTAGTCCCAAGTTTGTGCTCTCAAATTTTAAAATCAATCTTTTTTCCATCCAAAAAGTAGATATTTTCTGTAGAATTCGTCATAAGCATTATGCGTGTCCAAATGTGAAGACGTCTTTACACATTTTTCCACCTAAGTTGCAGCGTACAAAGAAACAGAAAGCTTGCACATTTAGTTGAGCGCAAAGGCTAAAAAAACTATAATTAATAGGTTGTTTTCGTTTATCGACATCTGAGTAGATTACACCTTTGTACGATGAAAAAATGTCTTTTTGGTCTTCGCATTTAAGTTTGTATAAATCGGTCTATGCTTCATATGACCCTAGGATACTGGTATTTGCTAATTTGAATGAAAATACTGAGAAATTATGCTGTGACATCAACAATCTTAAATACATTTAACATGTAGTAAGCTTTCTCAACAGATATGTATTTTGTATATTTAGTTTAGTGCAAAGGATAGAAAATAGTTATCAATATTTTTTTTGTGCCAATAAAATGGTTTTAAGACTATTACACACCTACTGTCTTGTAATATAATTATTATTTACCCTACTTACCTATAATGCTAGTTAAAATATTTCCTACAAAATGTCCGACGGTCGTTCCAACGGCAACGCCACCAGCGGTAGCTGCCATCTGACTAAATACTCCAGATCTCTTTTCATCTTTATCTACAGATGCTGGTACTTTGTTATTGGTATGAGCTTTGGCAGGAAGGGTATAATATTCTCTTTTTCTGGTTGCTTTAGTTTTTTTCTTTGGTTGTTTAGATTTACTTAGGGGCATATTTGTCACTGTAATTTATATGAATATTTTTAAAAATATATTTGACACTAAATTAAATCTTCATTTTTTTTCTTAGTTTCTTCCTCTATTTTTTATTGCTTTTGACGCATCGTTCCTAGTTTTCGAAGATGTTCATTAAGTATAGTCGATTCACTGACGTTGACAGGGTGATTGTCAAATAAACTAAATGTGGCAGAATTCTTTAATTGAAAAAAGAAGAAGGATTAATAATATTGGAATATTAAAATCTTTTAAATATTTTAATTATTTGTGTATATTTATTTAAAACTATTAATCTACAAACGACTATAAAATTTAAAAAGTAAACATGTAAACCTTTGTTTTATTGCTTTAATTGATGCAGTTTTATTTTATTTGTTAACTGTTATGTTGGACAAAGAATAATAAACAATCAGAATTCCCCACTCTTCATGAAAAATTAAGTACGCGCATCACGTTCGCGCAGACGTTCCGCCATGTTTTAAAGGGAGCAGTGTTGTTTAATAAAAAATTTATGTGGTGTGCATAAAAAAATTAACCCGGTTTAATTGACTTACGGCAATCATAGACATACTATATAATTATATTAACATTGTTAAATATAATAACATAAATATAATATAATTAAACATAAATATAAACAATTACATAACCTCACAAATCATATGTCTGTGTTATGTGTTTCCTTCTAAAACATGGCGCGCGTGCTGAAAAACTTCTAAGGCGGCATCTGAGAGTGAGCATTCTGATTGTTTATTATTCTGTGTGTTTGGTAACTGTATTGTAAATATCGAGCAAAAGACAAAAGAGGGAATGTGAAGGTAGTGGGAGCAAAAATAGTGTTAGACAGGAAGTGCGATCTTTAGAGGTCACTTTAAACAAGGAAAGAGAGTCCCTCTCCTTCTTTGACATCAAATTTAATTGGGTTATGTTATTGTTTGTCCCAAATGCATCGAGCAAAAAGACAAAAGAGGGAATCTAATCCTTATGAAAAGGAGACCAAAAAAGTGGCCTCTAATGGCGGACATATCCGAAAATGCGAATGCGCCAAATTTAAATTTTCCGACACTTATTAACAGTGGCTATATAATATTTTTCAGAATGTGTCTTAGACGAGAAAGTTTTAATTAATTATTAACGGTAATAGTCTAAAATGCGACACAATTGTTAAAAAACTTCAATATAAATAAGATTTCATGTGACATTTGGGACAAACAATAACATAACCCAACTAAATTTGATGTCAAACAAGGAGTGCCACTCTCTTTCCTTGTTTAATGTGGCGTCTAAGGATCTCACTTCCTTTTTAACAATATTTTTGCCCCCACTACCTTTACATTCCCTCTTTTGTCTTTTTGCTCGATGCCCAAATGTCACATCTTATTTTATTATCTTATTTATATTAAAGTTTTTTAACAATTGTGTCGCATTTTAGACTATTACTGTTAATAATTAATTAAAACTTTCTCGTCTAAGACACATTCTGAAAAATATTATATAGCTACTGTTAATAAGTGTCGGAAAATTTAAATTTGGCGAATTCGCATTTCCGGATCTGTCCGCCATCAGAGGCCACTTTTTTGGTCTCTCTTTCGTAAGGATTAGATTCTCTCTCTTGTCTTTTTGCTCGATGATAGTAAATAACGAGAATAATATTTTACTTTTAAGTAACAATTATTTTTCGCTACGATAATGATAATATGTGCTTGATTATATATTAACTTTCATCCACTTTCAGTCAAAGTAAAAATTTGACCAACATAGCCCAAAATTAATTGTATAAATTTACTAGACAGTGGGCACTAATTTTATAAAATAAAATATACTATTTATTATTTTTTAAGTGCAATCATCTTTAAGAAAATTGGCAATTTTCAAGGCTATGCAAAATTTAGTAACTGTTGTTGTGAACAAATTACTATTGGAGGTGTGAAACTATTCTTCCTTTATTATGTTCTCTTGTATCTCAGGTAAGAGTTCTCTTACACTTTACACCCTAGAACGACAAATTCAGAATCTTCGGGTAATACTCCTGTGGCTTTTCTTCCGTATATTCGAAGTGTCACTGATAGGATTGGCAAAATTCTTCGCAAAGAAGGTATCAGGACTACTTTTCGACCACCCAAGAAAATCTCACAATATCTACCCTCTCCTAAGGACCCATTACCGCCCCTATCTTCCTGTGGTGTCTATTCTATTCCTTGTTCATGTGGACATGTGTATATTGGCGAAACTGGTCGTTCCGTCAAAACTCGGATTCAAGAGCATCAAAGATGCATTCGATCAGGTCTTTTCTCCCATTCTGCAGTTGCAGAACACTGCCAAGAAACCGGTCATTCCATATTGTTCGAAAAAACCCATATTATTTCTAAGAGCCCCTTCTTTTATTCCAGGAAAATCCGCGAATCTCTAGAGATCCGAAAAAATCCACATAATATCAATCGAGAGGAAGGATACTACTTGTCTCCCATCTGGAATCTCAGTCTAGAGCCGCCGTCCGGTCCCGCTACCACGATGCAGCCACATGATGGCCAGCGCGCGCTTCTGGACGTTCGCGCCACGGAGTGTGCCGATACGTCCCGACACGACAGGTCACCGCGACTATAAATAGAGCGGTAGCAGAGTAATCGTCGGATTCACTTCTCGCCTCTCGACGCGTTAGTGTTCTGAGCTGTTGGACGTGAATCCCTGCCCTGTAACTGAGTTACCGTTGCTAACTACCCATCTTCCTGTCTTCTTTTTCTTTGTTCCCCTGAAGAAGCTACATACAATTGTAGCGAAACGTCGAGATGAACCCACTTTTGGGTCACTCACAAATGACACGGTCCAAACCCGGAAGACGAATAAACTATAAAGAGTTCTCTTATTATCTTCTCTTGTAACTCTTAGATGTTCTATCTCAGGTAAAACTAAGATATTGACCATTATATACATCTGGACATTAGGAAATTAATCCATGTCGGATTAATTTCCTAATAGAAAACACGTATTTTTATACTTAACGTTGGGCTCTTCTCTTTTCTTTTAAACATGTAGCGTCCTGCGTAGCGTCTGTATTCTATTCGTCATTCTATTTACTTGATCCATCCTTAAAGGACTTTCTCGAAAGTCAATTGGTGTAGTTAAATTCTATTTTCAGTTTCTATGAGAAGTTTTACCCTTTTCAGCAATAACTTCCCGTATAACTTAGAAATTAGAGGTAGTAAGGAATTCATCCATTCACAATGATATTGTATTTAATTGTCTTCTAAGTTTAAAGATTATCCTAACCTTAGATACTTTACATATATTGGCAATATATCTTAATCAGAGGCATTGATAAGATATTTCAGTTTTACATTGATTTTTCTAGGGAAATGTTTTAAGAATACCCCGATAATTGAATCAAACCCAGGTGTTTTCCTGGAAATTATGTTATTTAAATTAGTTTGTCTGACAACTTTCTTTAAAATACTATTTTAATTTTACTTTTATCAAACTTATAATATAAGCCTTCTGTAGATTGCTTTTTGCAAAACTCTCGTCTGATTTTTTTTAACGGAAGAACTTGCAAGATCTATCTTCTTATTCTCTTAGTGTGTATCCAGAGAAAATAATCAGTTTTGGTCATGTATTAGTTCGTCAATTATGTATTAGTTCTCTTAGATAGTCAATCGATCACAATATCTAACAGTTTCTAACAGCAACTATAAAAAATAATCAATGGAAATGAATGGAAAAGAAAATTATTTTTGAAGTGTATAAAATATTTAATTTCTAACTGAGCACTTTCGGCTCACAGAGCCATCCTCAGAGCTATGGTCAAATTTATATAAATATATAGTCAAAATCATATCAGCCTCATTCTATTATAAAAAATGGGCTTTAGAAATGTGGCTGTACCGACGCACATTGAGAATACCTTGGATAGACACAGTGACCAATATAGGGGTATTGAGATGAATGGGTAAAAAAATAAAATTGTTAACAAATGTTATTATATGGGCCATTTGTTTCGTAATAAGTACAGTCTGCTGCAGCTTATAGTGAAAGACAAGGGCGAGCGCCCACCAAAGTGGTGTGGCACGTGGCAAGTAGCAAGTAGCATGCGTCTAGCATGTTTTTTAAAATGTAACCAATGCAAACGAATCTCACCAAAAGACTTAAGGTAGAAGTGGCAGACAAGATTGGACAAATAGAAAAAGTCTTAGTTGAGAAACTTTGGTCCAATAATGTGAAAAAAGATTGGTCCAAATACCAGAAACTGCAAACAGAGAAATATATCGTATGATGGTCGCCAACCTTCGGTAGAAGTTTGCTGTTTGCTGAATTTTTTTAACAAAAGAATCCTTTATCAAGTTCGTCTTTAGTATTAAATGAGGCGGACAAATTAAATATTTTTTCTAAATGAAGCTGAAAACTTTGCGAATCTAAGGAGGTGGCTGATTTTTCTGAGATACTAAATAGTATCGCTCACTGTGAGAAGGATAGAAGAATAGTCGGAGTACTCGTTAAATGTTACCGAATTTCTATATAATGCACTAAAATATTTCTAGTTATTAAAAAAATAATTATGTTGGATCACCTATTAAAAACGTTTCTCATTTTAATTGCTTAACTGCCTACAAGAGTCTTTTTTATTGGTCTGTTTTTCTTGGTTGCGATTAACCTATAATACAATGGATATTGAATGTGTTGCTTGTGTGAGTCCATTTCAAATAGGTAAAGAAATAATAAATAAGACTTACTCACAATCAATTTAATTTAACTATCAGACGACCGGTTTCGCTTTCTACAATATACAAAGCATCCTCAGGTCTCGATACAAAGTTAAACAAATGATGCCGGTACTCTATTAATAGATGGATGGTAGAACATGGTTTAAACTACTTTATATTGTTTGAATGGAGAACTCAATTCTATTAGTGCAGTTGTTTGACAGTAAACGGGAAGTTCTTAAGAAGATTTGATCCAATGAAAAAGAGATATGTGTGAGATTGTTTGTTAAATGTAAGTGATGTAATATACCATTGTGTTATTAAAGGCTATTTATACTTATTCCAGAGATATATTTTTGAAATGTGTGTTATTTATTGAGTAATTGTTTTATGAAGGTGACAGTTTTATGACAATGAATAAGTGTAGATGTAAAAATTGTGTGGGTGTGCAATTATTTTCTAACTTGTAGTTATCAAATTACTTTGATAAAGTTCTATTGGCAATGAGTTAATTATTGGAATAGTCAAGTAAATAAAATGTTAAAATACAAACAATTAAGGATAATTTAAACACACTAAAACAGAAAACACTTAGAAGGGACGAAACAAACATTGAATTTAAAAGGGGGGAAGGGCATTAATGCACTACATCGTAGTCTTGGGCACAAGACCATGTTCAACCATGTTCTACCATCCATCTATTAATAGAGTACCGGCATCATTTGTTTAACTTTGTATCGAGACCTGAGGATGCTTTGCATATTGTAGAAAGCGAAACCGGTCGTCTGATAGTTAAATTAAATTGATTGTGAGTAAGTCTTATTTATTATTTCTTTACCTATTTACAACGGGTATTGTTGGCATCTAAATTATCAACGATTCTAGATATTTTGCCATGTTTATTTAAAAATTATAAGTACTTATATATTTTGAGATTATGTTTTGGTGGAGAATACACAACAATATAATATAAATACAATATAAGCTAAAAAGATTCTGTTTTAGTGCTTTCTGAAGTAACTTGAAACATTTCCCCTGTACTTACTTAGTTCTTTAATTCTAGATGATGTTTCCTTAATGAGAGATTCTCATTTTCTTATTTTATTATTCCATTGGTGTCCGATAAGTAAGGCGAGATATACATTAAGTAGTTAGAAACCTAATTTTATTATTATCCGTTCGTTATTTGGACTTTAACCGTTACGTTTTTCAATTATAAAATTTTTACATTTGTTTTAGTACGCCATTATGTCAATATGCATAAATACTGTGGATACTTCAGCTAAAAGAACCGATTGGTTTAAAAAGGTTTTGGCTACTAGCACTCTCAGCATTCTCTAAAAACTCAAAACAACTTTTTTATTTATTTATATTTCTTAATATTTGCATCATATTTTTTAACGACAAAAGTATCAGTCATTACATCTTAAGTAACGTATATATTTTTATGAATACAAAATATGCACAGAGTTTCAATCACAAAGTTTAAAGAAAAGGGAGAATGGCAAAAATTGTTATTTCTGCATGTAAAAGAAAATAGAGAATGGTTTTTATTTGCGATGGAAGTGATGTGAACTTATTTTCGAAGTATAGTGAATTGTGAAATTTAAAATATTGGGTAGTATGAAATAAATATCTAAATTTGTATGAATAGAAGGTGTTTCGTTTCCAAATCCATGGAAAAACCTTTTATAACGATGAGAATATAAAACCAGCGATTAACCATATTGTCTTTAAACAGCTATTAAGCTATATTAAGCTATTGTCTTAAAAAATGAGAAATTTTAGAAAGTTAACTTATGCAGATTCTATTGTTGGGTGTGTATCGAAAAAAGGTAAAACATAAATTTGATAGATTTTGTAGGAAATGTTTTTGGTTGAGATACCTACTAAAAGATCATTGGTTGAAAATAGTGATCGTAGGAGCACAGTTTAACCACAAAGTTCTTTTTTATACTATGGTAGGAGTATGTTTGAAGGGATTTTGAAATAGAAGAAAAAGAATAACATCTGAATGAAAAAAGACATTGAATTCCAGTAAATTTGAACGGTAGAATAGCGTTAAGTTGTGTGAATTAAAATGTAATAGTGTTTTCGAAAGTATTTAAAAATGTGGCAGTAGTAGCGGTTCCATATATATGCTGATTGGTAACAGTTCAGAAGTAAGTGTTAACTATATTTGTAAGTACCAATAAATTAGCATTGCATCGGGAGAAGTTTAAGCTAGGAGAATTTAGTATCCAAAACGAGATAGGAGTTTTGATTAGGAAGTGAGACCGAAATCCATTTTTGGGAGCAGATCCAAGGAGGGAATCAAACTAGCGAAGTGACAAGAGTGACAAGTGACAAGGTCATGTTTAGAATTAAAAGAAATTGTTAGTTCGTCGATTTATTAAAATTTGACAGTATTATTACAGAGACAAAAAGTTTTGAAATGAAACGGTAAATAATTAAATTTATAATTTTTTTTTATTTAAGTTTTGTTATATTTTGTTATATTTCATTAATATGAAATGTGTAAAATATATTTAACTGTTTAGGTTATCAAACCAAATGTAAACATTGCAAACGGAACTTACGAAATTGTTTAATGCATCGTAAGTAAGTAAATAAATATAAGTTTGTAGTATTTTATTACACGTAGTTATAAGATTTTTTAAAGGTTATCATTTAAAAAAAAAAATCGTAGTGTTTCATAGTCATGCAAAATATGTTCGATTGTTTCAGGTTCTCTGCTGTAGTTTTTCTCTGAGGTCCTCTCCTCTCCTTAGAGATATTTTACGGCCTTGACATTTTTGCAATATGCTTATCTACTCAGAATATCTCTCTCTCTCTCTCTCTCTCTCTCTCTCTCTCTCTCTCTCTCTCTCTCTCTCTCTCTCTCTCTCTCTCTCTCTCTCTCTCTCTCTCTCTCTCTCTCTCTCTCTCTCTCTCTCTCTCTCTCTCTCTCTCTCTCTCTCTCTCTCTCTCTCTCTCTCTCTCTCTCTCTCTCTCTCTCTCTCTCTCTCTCTCTCTCTCTCTCTCTCTCTCTCTCTCTCTCTCTCTCTCTCTCAGTAAATTATTACTGTTATTTATTATTTATTACTGTTATTTATTATTTATTACTGTTATATATAATTAAGTACAAACTACTAAAAAATTATTCAAAACGGTCACCATTTGCTTGAATACAGCACCGAAAGCTATTAGGCCATTCATCGATCGATGTATGGACGAAATTTATAGGCACATTATCCACAACTTCTACCAGAGCCTGTTTCAATGACTCATGATTAGGGTGACATCTTGTACACACCATTTTACACACGTTGTTGAGTAGTTTTGTCCTGTTTTGTTTGTTGAGTCCTGTTGAAATATCCATGGTCCCTTTTGAAACATAATTTGGTTTAAGGGCTTCACTAGGTTTGATAAATTGTCTCATTGACACAAGTACATACAGAGTACAGGCTACCTAAATACAATAAGAACCTTGGCTAAAAATGTAGCGTCTACGAGCCAACAAGACAAAATCTGAGCAGATAACATTTACAAACCTTAAGGGAATCTGCCCGCCAGTATAGTTAAAGCATGCATTAAAGTGCATTTGGATCGTGGATTCACATGGAGTAAATACATATTTACCAAGCAAAAACAGTTGGGCCTTAAAGTCAGCAATCTATATTGGTTAATAGGCCGGAAATCAAAACTGCCAATCGACAACAAAATTTTAACATATATAGGTTTTTTAAAACCCATTTGGAGCTATTGAATTCAGCTATGGGAAACAGCAGCCAGATCCAGTATTAACATTATTTAGATTCCAATCGAAAGTCCTCTGAATGATAATTAATGCTAATGACCTCAAAATGACAACTGTTAACGAAGAAGTCACCAAACTCTGCCAACAATATAAACAGCCGGCCACAATAATCTACCAGCCGACCTGTTAAATATGAACTAGTTGCCGAAGCCCAATAGAATCTAGAAGCAGAAGCCCAACCAAGCCCTAAGGCATACGTGACACTATTCTAGTGCCAAGAATACTCAGGAAATTGCCAACGGACAATTTTCTACAAGATATTTTTTTCTTTAATAATATTTGTATTGTTAAATATTGTCAGACAATTTACTTGTTGTAATTATATTGTCGATTGTCTATATATTAGATTACTAAATATAAAAAAAAAAAATAATGTGTGCAAAACTAAATAGAAACAGATAGGAACTTTATTATGTATAGAAACATAAATTATATTGTATTTTTTATCACTATTTCCATAATTAGTTTTTTTATAAATTTTAAATATATCTCTACATTATTTTACTTTTTTAGAAATTTCTATCTGATGTTTTAAAACAAACTGATGTTTGGTTTGTCACAAATTGGCAGGCTATTGAATGGATGAAACGCCCTAGAACCCTAGACAAAATACATACATTTGAGCCATGGAGCTGCAAAAAACGGTTTAAAAAATCTGAAATAGCATGTAGTGTACCCAATGTATGTAAACTTCACAGTAGAGTTTTCCAACAAGACAGGTGAGTTAAATTTAAATTTGAATCATTTACACTGAAGTCAGATGGTCTATGATCTAGATAAGTGGCTTATGCTAACTCTTAAAATTATTGTGACAAATTTATATTTACAATAATCTTAAAAAAAAAACAAATTAGTTTTCACTACCATCTACGCGCAGTAGAGATGAAACACCTGCAACGATACAAAACGACGTCCACCGCAACAGAAAAGTGAGTTCTGGTCTGGTAAGAACTTCACCGGGCCTCTGAGTAGTGATCGAAGAGCAACCGCTCTGGGAGTTCAAACTTGAATACCGATCTAGCAAGAGCTCCTAGCCTGTATCTGGTAGTATTAATATAAGGCCAAATTGTCCAATTCATCGGCGACTAAGTATTGATTGGTCGCTTTCCGTTCGTCGTCTGTACATCGAGCAAAAAGATAAAAGAGGGAATCTAATCGTTATGAAAAGGAGACCAAAAAAGTGGCCTTGGATGGCGGGCATATCCGGAAATGCAAAGGCGCTAAATTTAAATTTTCCAACACTTGTTAACAATAACTGTAAAATATTTTTCAGACAAGAAAGTTTTAATTAAATATTAACGATAATAGTCTAAAAAGTGACACAATTGGTAAAAAACTTCAATATAAATAAAATTTCATGTGACAGTTGGGACAAACAATAACATAACCAAACTTAATTTGACTTCTTAAACAAGGAAAGAGACTATCTATCCTTGTCTAAAGTGGCCTCTCAAGATGGCACTTCCTGTCTATCAATATGTTTACCCCTTCTACCTTTACATTCCCTCTTTTGTCTTATTGCTCGATGCGTCTGTATCAAGTAGTGATCGATTCGACCACCTCTGATATATACTAAATATTGATTAGTATTTATCTGATGTTTGAATACTGACCAATACATCGTCCTTTTATTTTATCTTTCCCTGGCATCGTCAATCTTTCATTTGGCAGGTATCAAGAGCGGGTCGTAGCTTCTTCGATTTATTCACTGGAATTGGTATTTTAGTCCAGTTGTCAGAGAGTTAACCCCTAAACATCATACGAAAAAGCTGAATTTTGCAGAGAATATTAATTTTGGGCCCCCAAATAGATGCAAAAAGGTTTACCACTTTTACCCTCAGGCTTTTACTCAGGAGTAAAAACAAAAAAAAATTGATTTACCAAGAATCTATACAAAAAATGTTACTAAAATAATTTTCAACAAAAATGTTTATAAGCATTTCTTGTGTATGTAAATCGTTCTCTTAAAAACAACGCTTAAAGCGACCGCCTATTTGGATGTCAGTTACGCGCGCGAAATCAACGTTCAATAAAATTTGTATCAGCTCGACGGTAACAATTCGATATCTTTTATATAAAAAAATCTTTCGACAAAAATCGAGATCATCAAGATGTTTTAAAGGTCAATTGTTCAGCTTTCGTATGCAGTTTTTGTATTTTGCCGCAAATAAACTTAGATTTTATACAGGAAGTAACAAATATGAGGCATTTGAAATATGAACGAAACACGCATAATTTAATGTTTTACATTACATTTGATCACACGTATTGGGAAATGCATTTAAGAAGGCGATTTTGGGTGAAGTACTAGTGTAATTGAAAAAAAGTTTTAAATGTTTTAGATCGTTTTTTGTGTGAAAGTTTTAAACTTTCCAGCATTTTTTAAGCATATTTCAAATGTCTCACATTTGTTGCCAAAACTCAAAATTAAAATTTCATGCTATATGTTTTTAAGATTATGTTCTAGTAATCGCGCCACCATTATTTATTTAACACCTGTATAAACTCTGAGCTTATTTCTGAAACTCTTTTTGATTTTTGACGATAGGTCACTGTAACTGACATGCAAAATCGACGGTCGCATCAAGCGTTGTTTCTAAGAGAACCGTTCATTAACACAAAAAATGCTTATAAACATTTTTGTTTAAAATTATGTCAGATATATTTTTTATTGAAAACATTTTCTTCTACCGTGTACAGATTCTTAGTAAATAGTTTTTTTTTTGCTTTTTTACACACCTGCGAGGGTGTTTTTCGAGGGAAGCCAGGTGGTAAAAGTGGTAAATCTTTTTGCATCTTTTTTAAGGTAGCAAAATTATTATGCTCAGCAAAATTTAGCTTGTTCGTATGATTTTTAGAGATTCAATAGCATTTTCGTCTCTGACTATGTAACTAAAAAACGTAACCCCGTCTCTAGGGTAGGTAAAAAACTGAAAAATAATTGGGGTTTGCTTTGTAAAAAATTTTTGTAACGCCATCCATTTTCAAGATACAGGGCGTTGAAGAAAAAAAAATTTACGCATTTTTTACGATTTTGCCGAAACTACTGGCAACATTGTAATGAAATTTTGTACCAATATGTTTTGGAAGCTGATACATCCCATGAACTTGTTTTTATATCTGATTCTCATAGAGGGCGCTAGTTACACGGATCGTACTAAGTATTAGTCAATATAACTTTTTTAAGAGTCAAATAATAATCAAAATTTCAAGTAAACTTAAACATCATTTAATTTTACACGAAAAAGGTACTCTTGGGAAAACTCGATACTGTGTGCCGTTTTCGGAATATTTTGATTTGAAAATTATGAAGTAATAATTGATGCTTATGATGAATATTTTCTATATTAATTGTTCTTGGTCTATCAGAATTTATTTTATTCAGTCTCACATTCCCAGTTTCTCGACAACGTCGTTCAATGGCTCTAAATGTTTTTTTTACTTGGTAAGTTTCTTCTAGGAAACTTTTCTGCATAACGTGTCACAGCTGCACTAGAACATCCTAAACATTCGCCTAAGGTTAATAACATGTCAGTGTATTCAACATTTTGATTTGATTTTACAAATAAAAAGGTTTCAAAACTCTAACTATTGTTGATTTATCGTCATAACAATCAATAAATGTCAGATTTCCATGGAACACTTGGAGAAAATAGAGGTATACCAATTAGAACTTTATCATTACTACCAGCATCAATTATACTTCATAATTTTCAAATCAAAATATTCCGAAAACGGTACACAGTATCGAGTTTTACCAAGAGTACCTTTTTCGTGTAAAATTGAATGATGTTTAAGTTTACTTGAAATTTTGATTAATAATTATACTCTTAAAAAAGTTAGGTATATTGACTAATAGTACGATCCATGTAACTAGCGCCCTCTATGAGAATCAGATATAAAAACAAATTCATAGGATGTATCAGCTTCCAAAACATATTCGTATAAAATTTCATTAAAATGTTGCCAGTAGTTTCGGCAAAATCGTAAAAAATGCGTAATTTCTTTTTCTTTAACGCCCTGTATCTTGAAAACGGATGGCGTTACAGATTAAACTTATGTTTTACTGAATTTGGTTTCTACTTGTCACATAATGGAATTGGCAATAAGAGATTAAAAAACAATGTAAATTATACGAATAAATAAATTTTAACTACATATTACATACTGAAAATTTTGGCAATAATTAAAATATTATCTTTTTAGGCATCTTCATACATGTTCTGAATGTCCACAAAAGTATCCCTGGATAAGGAATGAATTTGGACTAGATTGACGAAGCCATTTTTTTTATAACAGACTGATGTAATTTATGTTAACTCGATAATCAATAGTTAATAACTTCTGACATTTTACTTTTACGTTACAAATATTTGCAACAGAGTGGTTTAGTTATATTTTGTGCCAAATGACTGTCATTAATAATTTGGGTTTAAAAATTTAGTTACACGTGTAATTGTTTAGTTGAAAAAGAAAATGAAATCTGAATTATTTATTACGATTATGTATAGTATATATATTATTTAACTAAAAAAGAGTGTTTTTTTTTATATTAACCCTTTGTAACACCATAAACGATGGACAGTGTTTTAGGTACACAAAATAAATGAAGACACGTTACTCACAATCGAAAGAGCAATACCGTCAATCACTTAGTGATCTCGGTGATCTCATTTAGTTTAGCCTGCAGACTAAAGTAGTTTCCCAGGGTGTTGCGCGTGGAGCCATAAGAAAGATTTGGGCGTGATACATGGACCAGTTATCAAGAACCATCCCCCGTCTATAATGTTCGATGTAGTCATTCCAATAAAAGATGCACCTCTATAACACAACTCTTACACGCCAGTCCATAAACCCTGGAAACAATATACCGTGATGAAACACCATCCACAAAAGTCTACACTTTCTTATACAAACATTAATCTTTGCGTTTGTATATATTTGATATATTTTCATTAAAATTATTGTAGATTACGTAATAGTATATTACATAACGAGAGTTGTAAGAAGCTTATTACATGCGAGTAAAAAAGTTGCGCGCGAGCCGCGTAGCGGCGAGCGCAGTAATTTTACAAGCATGTAATAATCTTACAACTCAAGTTGTGTACTATACTTTTTCTACCATTATTTTCGTTTATTAAAATAAAAATTAAATTACCACTATATTTACACTGACAGTTTAATAATTTTTAATCTGTCAAAATAACGTTACCATGGAAACGTTAATTCGTTTCCATGGTAACTCGACCAACTGACATACGAGGCTTATGTGATATTACACATTTTTATAAAACTGAAGCGTAATTTTTTTTATTACGTGCTAGTCATTATGTGTCAGTATCTGTTATGATGCATTTACTTAGCATCCAAATAGTAGGTAATATACAATTTACTAGTAAGAGAGTAGAAAAACTATTTTATGCATTATGTTTGTATTATATTTTTATACGATATAGGTGAGCTGTTCAGTTCTGATTTAAATATTTTTTTTTCTGTAGCATATTCTAAAACTTCCATAGAGGCTTATGTAAAAGACTTTTATATAGTTACTTATACAGTTATAGTTACAAGTATATTAGTTAATTTGATAGAGTACGGTATTTCCATTCTTAAGAAAAATTGAGGAATACGTTAGTACATTAATTTCTCCATAATAACATAGATCCATAATAAAAGAATATTTATTTTGGTACCCCAAAAAAGATGCAAAAAATATTAGTAGTTTTACCCCCGGGCTTTTCCCTAAAACGTATCTTGATTTTTGTCTATAGGACATTTGGAACAAAAAATATCGAACTTTTACCGTCGAGCTCATACAAATTTTATTGAACATTGATTTCGCGAGCGTAACTGACATTCAAAATCGACGGTCGCTTCAAGCGTTATTTCTAAGAGAACGGTTTATTCTACACAAAAAATTACTCTAAACATTTTTGTTTAAAATTATCTCAGCTACAGTTTTTATTTGAAACCTTTTTACTGCCCTGTGAGGGGGGTTTTAGGGAGAAAACTTTTATTCATCTTTTTTGGGGTCCCAAAATTATTATTCTCCGCAAAATTCAGCTAGTTTGTGTAATTTTTAGGGGTCAACTCTCTGACGACTGGAATAATACAGGAAATCGTGCATTATCGGGTTAAGTCATTACGTAAAGTTGTCTCTCCTGTCATCTTTTGACCATGCCTCATTAAATCATAACTCATGATGGAAAACAAAGTCCTTATCAGAGATACTTGAGTAAATATATCCAACGTCGCAGCCATATTTATGGTAACAGAAAAAAATGCAGCTCTGGTTTTTATATGTAGGATGGTATGTAAATTAGAGGAACAAAAATCGGAAGTTTCACTTAGCCTGCATAAAAATTTGGCTAACTTACTTATTCTGACAGCGAATTATACTTAGACGTGTTTATCTGGTTCCACAAATAGTAGAAATTAAAGAAAAAGTGATGATTATCTAGTTGAAGAAGACCACCTGTATCTCATTTTTAAAGCTAATGATTTGTGAAGGCACATTTAAATCAACTGCATTGAACAGAAAGTATAATTGTAACCTACGTCTTGTCTACACCGTACTTGTATACTCAGTGGCTGAATATGCTTCCCCGGTATAGCTCAATAGCAAACACACAAAGATTATTGACACTCAATTAAACCAGACAATGCACAATGCACAAACAGTACAATCAGGTACAATTAGACCCACACCGAACTATTAGCTTCCCATTCTGAGTCACATTCCACCGCCGAAACTGCGAAGAAGTCATTTTCTTCTCAGAGAATATCGAAAAATTGTGGCTAACCATCAACTACTCATACACCAAGATAAGCTTGATATCGAAATAAACAGACTGCGCTCCAGATATCCTCCATTGCTAAGAGCCAACTCCTTACATCAGGAACATTTCAACCTGACCAAAGCTTGGAGAACACAATGGGAGAGCGACTCACCACAGGAAGCACATCAAATGGCCTGTATCGATCAGAAACAGTTGAGTTCAGGACGCAGTTCAGGAACTCAGATGAGTTCCTGAATGCGACCGAAAATGTTTTACATTATATTAATAATACATTAGATGTTGGTTTTTTATACTTTATGTAACGTTTTATATTGATTTTTTAATTGTTTGTTCTTATTGTATGCCATACGATAAATAAATAATACATCAACCAATTGTAAAAATGCTTTTTTAGTGCTATAAGAATGTTTTCTCCAAATTGAGCCATAACCAGCGTCATCCAGTGATTGCAGAAATTGGAACGCAAATACCAATAATCTTAAGATCAAGATGAAACTTTAGACGCGCAGGTAAAAAAAAAATTGCGTTTTAACTAAATAAATACTTAGATAGATATTGCTATTAGTAAAAGCTACAGCCAGTTTATTGGGATTGTGAAAGCATAACTAAAAAGACAAAGCAGGACAAACAGACCAAGGTAAAATTGAGAAAAGTGTATTCTTGGCTAATTTTAAAATAGTGGGATCTTATACCAAAACTTTCTCGTAACTCACGATCTAGAAATCGCAAACTAGCGTGTTCATATACAGAAAGGCAACAAAAACGTATAGTGATTGTTAAAACTTTATTATAAACAAATTGAGACAAAACACGTTCTATTAACAAGAAAACTTAAAGTTGGAAAACATCAATGTCAATGTCACATTAAGGTGACATTTAGAGCATCCAAAAATAAAGGTTAAACATGAAAGGTAAAAAAATATTTTAAAAGTATTGTCAATAGAAACATCAGTCTTAACTTTTCACAAGAGAACAAATAAAATATGCTCCGGAAAAGTTGGAAAATTCAACTGCATTTATCCGAAATTCCTTTTCAACTGCGCAAAATGTGCAAAACCGTTTATTAGCATATTTCTTTACAAACTTCACGCAGAAACTCTCGAGAATTTAAACGCTCAAAGGTGTATGTAAATTACTATGAAGCTTATACTTTTAATTTTGCGGGGTAAATTCTCTGGTTTGTGTTATTCAGTTCGTTTATGATTTGGTATGGTTCTGTCTGATTTTTTGTAGTGTAGGCACTTTTTAATGATAGAGGTAAAACAATATTTTGTTAAATTGCCAATGGCACTTCTACATTGCTGCATAAACTACAGCTATTCCTATTGTGAATTTTGGATTATCAATTTTGAATAATACGTTGTGTTTTCATTGTAGTTTTTTGATTATGTGAGGTTTCTATATGTACAGCAAAACTCTGGATATGTACTATTTTTTTGTTGATTCCGTGAGAATTCTAATATGTATATGTGTATGTTTTTCCTTTAAATATTTTATTTTAAGTTTTTTCTAATAATTATGTTAACAAGTAACAAAAACAAAATTTGTTAAATTTGTTAAATTTGTATTTTCAGAATAATTGTCAAAGCTTAAATCTAAACGTAAAAATAAGCTTATTTTAAAGTAAAAGTATGGCTTATTGCCAATAAAAAGAATAAATTAACATAAATTCAAGTTGTTACTTATGACCTATTATGCAACAGTCAAAAGAACCGGGAACTTTAGGACAGAGTTTATATTTATACACTGTTTCTAAACGTAATCCCTTCTCAGCACATTTCGCTCACCGTTTTGGCATAACTCTTCCTTTTTCACTCTTTTTTTCACGTTTTGTCACAATGTTACAATTGTCACTGTCAAAAAGGTAGCTTACCTCTAAATGCAGTAGAAGAATTCGCAGAACTTTTCAGTAGGTCAAGAATCTTTCCTCCACGAGAATTATGGTACATAATTCTTATAATTAGTAACAAACAGCTGTAAACACACCATAAATGGCAAAAGAACTATTATTAGATCACTAACAGTCCACCTGTCATCATAGAGAGATGCAACACTATATGCGGCGGTAATTCACACGCGTAGAGGAATAAAGCATAAAGTCCACATAGTTTTCTAAACTTCAGATAAAAAACTAGAGTCAAAAATGTGGATTGAACTGCAACCTAGATTCCTGCAAAACAAAAAGTACTAAATGAGAAGTAAAAAAATAAAAGAATACCTGTTAATAAAAGAATCGATTCATAACGATTGTCAAATTGAAAAGTCATAAATTTCATCTAATTGATAACAATATTGAATCATATTTTTAAATTTATATCTCACTTCTCGTCTCAAAACAATTTCATATAAATACAATTATTACTTTTAAACATCTTATTTAGTTTATATAATAATTAAATTTACTATCAAATTATGTGTATTTATATTTTATATTTTAATATAAGTGACATCACTTTATATAAATTGTGACGTGCAAGTATTTTTGTATAAAAAATGCTATACTTAGACACAGAATAATAAACAATCAGAATGCC